TTCAGAAGTAGTTAATAACAACCATTTTTCATTCTTATATTGGGGTTGTCTTTAAAAATTTAAAATTTAAGGGGTTTTCTCTTTACATCTCAGTTGACAATAAGGTGTGGGAAAAAAACACAATCTCATTCCAGAATACGGACTGTTTAGGACAAACCCAGACACAGTCTTCACATGAGATCTCTGGAGCAGAGTATCTGCACTGTATTCCCTGAAACCGTGAGCATAAAAAATATATCAAAGTAAAGAGCAAGATTCAGCCCATCAGGCATGAGAAACTGCATCTTTCTGCAAGACAGTCTATGTAGGTAGGACTAATTAATTGTAGAAAATTTTGTAAGGAAACACGAAATGGTATTCTTGGAAGAAAACATTATCATATTAGCATTAATACAAATAAAATTTAAAAGTAAAGAAAAGTTACATAAAAGACTGATTGAAAGAAGGTCTCGAATTTGCAATTCCTTAGATCCAATTTTTTAAAAAAATGTAGGTAATAAGGTCCGTGCTGGATGTGTCAAAGGCAAAGAAAGATGTGCTCTCTTTGGGCTGTGAATTGAGTCACAGCACGCATTACCTTTGGGTTTTACAGTCAGCTGGACAGAAACTTTTTTCACCCCCAGTGGACTGACTGCTTGACATTCATACTGGCCGTCATCATGCTGGGCTGCGTGGTCAATTCTCAAAGTGCCAGAGGAGAGAACCGTGTGCCGGCCTTCCAGAGGGAGCTGCCCTCCTGAAAAGAGGGAAAGAAAATACTTTGTATTGGTTTGCATGGCCCAACGAGCTGAAAGTCAGGACTGCATGACTGTCCTGGGTAGAGGCTAAGACAGTCTTCTAGGAAATCCCTGGCACTGGTGTGCACTTTGAGGGTTCCCACGTGCCTACCCCCACTGACCTGACCTGCAGCCTCAGGCTCTGTATTGCAAATAATTATCATCTCTCACCAGGAGAGCAGCTCTGCCTCTTAACAAACTCCCCACCTTCAAGTTTACTTCCCTCAGTTTTACTCATCACAATTAGAATACAAATTGCAAAAACAATCTGATTACTAAATACAATTTTAACACACCTCCCTAATATGTGTTTACCACATGTATACGATATTTCGAATATGAAAACAATATTGGAATATAACATTTAAAGTGCTGAGGCAGCATATGGAAAATGG